CCCCGCAGGGTCCGAAAGAGAGGGTCTCTTGGGGTCAGAGGGAGAAGGCTCCTTGGGGTGCCCAGAATGAGAACAAAGACGGGCCTCTGAGTCCCAGAAAGAAAGCATGCCAGGGTCAGAGTGCAGAGGGTCCTCAGGGTCTGAGGGAGGAGATCTCTCCGAGTCAGCAGGCCGAGGCTCGTCGGGAGCAGAGGGGAAACAGTCCTGAGTGTCGGAGAAAGGAGGTCCCTCCGGGTCAGGAAATGGAAATCCCTCCGACGTCGGGTGGCAGTGTCCCACAGGCTTGGGAAGTGGCCAGGGGAGAGGCGCCTACGCAGCCCCGGGAGGACGACCCCCTAGGCCCCGCAAGGGGCTTCTGCAGGTCCCCGACAGAACAGTGTGGGAAAAGGGAGAGGCCAGGCCCGCGGAGAGAGACCAACGGCCAGAGAGCAAGGTCGGCCCCAGCCGTGGGAAAGCCGGCGCCCCACCTGCCGAGACCCCCGCCCCGCCCGCGGCTCCCAGGCGCAGCGACGCCGGAGGCACCCAGCACCCGGGGCTCCGGGCAGCAAGAGCCCCCTGTCACGCTCCCGGGGACCACTGGGCTGTGGCACGGTCCGTATGGCCTGCAGGGCCCGCGAGGAGACCCCGGCGCGGCGGAGCGCGAAGCGGGTGAGGTGGGGGCACTGCCCGCAGGCGGCCCCGCGGGGCCCCCGGGCGCCCCGGAGGCGCAGGCCCCCAAGCCCACAAAGGCCGCGTGGCCCGGCACTCCGGGCAGCGAGCCGGCGGCGGCGGGTGTGAGTGCGGCGCAGCGACAGACAGCGCTGCAGCGGCTGCTGGAGCTGCACCGCGCGGCTCGGTGCCGGCGGCGGCAGGACCGCGAGCGGCAGCGGCTCCGGGTGCGCGCCCCGCAGGCCCGGGGCGGGGGGCGGGACCCAGAGGGGGCGGGGCGGGGCGGGGCCTGGAGGGCCGGCCCCCGGCTGACAGCTACGCCCCGGCCCCAGGTCCTGGAACTCCTCTGCATCGCTAGGAACCGCCACACCCGGGTTCACCCCCTGGGGCCACCCCCCAGCCCCGCTCAGCATCCGTCACAGGCAAGCCTCAGGGGAAGGGCGGCGGGGTCACCGTCCTCTGTCCCAGGCGGGGGCGGGGAGAGCTTGGCAGGACCCGGGGTTCCTAGGAAGGGCGCGCCGCACGCTTTTGCAACGATAGCGGCCCAGCGCGCGACCGCGCGGCTCGGCCAGGGCCGCCCCGGGGGTGGGAGGCGGCGCCAAGCGCTCGGCTCTGCCCAGGAGGACGCGGCGGGGCAGCGGCGCGCGCTGCGGGAGCGGCTACAGCAGGTTCACCGGGAGAGGACCGGGAGGCTGCGGGCCCTCGGGGCCAGGTGAGGGGGCCAGGGGCGGGGGCCAGGGGCGGCCCGCTCCCGGGCATCTGCGGTGACAGGCCACTGCCCCCGCCCCCCAGGAACACCCAGAACTTCCAGGAGCTGCTGTGGGCCCCCGGCTCCGAGAAGCCTGCTCCCGGACAGGCGAGCTCGCCCTCCCCAGCACCCCTCGGGTCATCGCTGGGTCTTCCTAAGGGTGACCGAGGAGTCGAGGGTTAAGGGAACGTCGAGAGGGCCGCCGGCAGGTCAGCAGGTGCAGGGCGGAGGGAGTTTGAGAAAGGCCCCGGACGCAGCCTCAGGAGCCGGAGACACAGACACACTCAGCAGCTTCGCCTCACCAGGAGACGCGTCATTTCTTCTTCCCTTCCCGAGCCCACCTGTCCCGCCGGTCCACGGTCAGAGGGCCAGGTCTCGGGGGTCCAGCAGCGCGAAGGCGCCATTCTTCCGGAAGAAGGAATCGATGCGGCACATCTTGCAGGAAACCAGTTCTTGCTTCACCGGGGGGCCTAGCAAGAGAAGGCAGAACCCACGAATGGGATCCTGGGAAAGCAACTCAGGCGAGGGGCCGTGGCTCTGTGCACAGCCCTGGGGAACTGCCTGGGTTGTACCCACTTTATGAGTGTGAAGAAATAAAAGGATGTGCCTGAGAAGAGGGGACTGTGGGGAAATTCAGGGAGCTGGTGGGTGTGGTCATGTAGCGCCTATGACAGGGTCACTGTCAGCCATCTGCTACCACTGACCCCATCCTCAGCCCCTGGCCCTTCTGCCCAGGGTCTGACCCAGCGAGGCTTCTCTGGGAGACAGGCCTTCTGTCTGCCCTGCTCCCGTTCTGCAGCTCGCCTCCTGCTTTTGTTGGCTCGTTGCCCCTTATTCCCACCTTAGGGCAATGGGAAGAGTGGGGGAATTTTGCTTGGCTGTAGTTATTACCATCCATCACCCTTTCTGCACCTGTACTCAAGCAGCTGGAGGGAGATACTTGACTGCGTAACGGGTCTCACTTTACACTCATGACCACAGGGAGCAAGGGACATTGAGCACCAGCCAGCCACCTGGGGCACTGCCGGTAGATCCCTTCTCCCATGCTTTCACTCACCGGCTCCTTGCCGCACTTCTCTCCCTCCCAGCTGATGACCATGATTGAGCCTCGCAGCAAAAACAGTCCAAAGGGACAGCTTTCCCTCCACCACCATCTCCCTACCTGCCTCCCCCCTCTCCTGCCAAATTTGCAGCAACTTGTGCTCCAGGGGCACCCCCCCCAACCTCCTGGCTTTACCCACCACCTAGACTTGGTGCAGAAGGAACATGGGGCAATCTACTTCCACAAAGATTTATAGCCTTGGAAACCCAGTGGGGGTCGCTGTGAGTCGGAATCGACTCCATGGTGGTGAGTTTGGTTTTCTGGTTTTGATACTTTGATGGGAGTTCCTGGCTGGTGCAAACAATTGACACACTTGGCTACTAACCAAATAAAGGTTCAAGTTCACCCCAAGGCACCTCAACGGACAGATGTGGTGCTCAACTTCTGAAAAACCAGCCACCAAAAACCTATGGAACACAGCTCTCCTTGGACACGCACAGGCCACCATGAGTCACAATCAGGACTACTGGCTCTGCTTGGGTTGTGACCTTCCCACTCGCACCCTCCGCATCCACAGTTCTCCTGAGGCCAGGCTCACAGTTACACGACCGACGCCTCAAGCACAACGTGGTCCATCTGACCCATAGCCACACCCTCCAGCCTCGATCCTCCCCCATCTTTCCATGTCACAGCTGCTCTGGCCAAAAGCCTGGGGGTCATCATCGACTTTTCTCTTCCTTTCCCATTAGTCAGTGCCATTCTTTTCTCAGAATGCACCCGACTCCACCTCTCAGCTCCAGTGCCAGCCACCCCAACCCCAGCCACCATCTTGTACCTGGATTAAACAGATGCGTAACTTACCTGCCAGCTTCCACTCTTTCCTCTGAAATACCCATTACCTACAGAATAGCCAGGGTGACTTTTTTTGAAGTGACCAGTGTCACTCACCTCCTTCAAACCCTCCTTGAGGCTCCCTTGTACTGAGAATCCAATCCATACTTCTCTTTATCATGTCCCAGCCTGACCACCGTTTCCTCAAAGAGGCCCTTCCTGACAATCCAATCTATGGAGGCACTCTACCCCATCACTCCCTACTATAATGGAGCTTGTCCCTCTGGGCATTTCCTTGCTATTTGTGGTCTGGTCCCTCCAGAGAACGCCTATGCCACCTAAAGGCCATGCCTCACTGCCTCTTGCCAACCATTGCCTGGCCCGTGGTAGGTGCTCAGTGTTTGCTAGATGAGTATCTTTTGGCGGTAGGGGGCTCACCCAGCTGCCAGCCATATGTGAAGTTGGTGGTGATGGGGAAGAGGTAGCGCTTCTCTGGCAAGTCCAGTTTTCGGGTGTTGAGGTAGCAGTAGCGCCCCTGAGAGTCGTGGGAGATGCCTTCATACAGCAGGGCCCGGGTGGCAGGTGGCACTGGGCACATTTCTGACTGAAAAGGAGCCTCCTGGATGGAGCTGGGGGACTTGGACGGGGCTTCCTTGGGAGCAGGTGGGGGTAAGAGTGGGGCTTGGGGGTGCAGGGTGGGCAGTTTGAGGGGTAGGCGGGCTGCAGCCTTAGCCTTCTGCCTGGCCTTCACCAGCGACCCATACTTGCGGTACCATTCACAGCGCAACATTTTCTCCCTCAGATACTCCTCCTTCCAGAAGTTTTGCCGCAGCGTGTCCATGTTGAGTTGGCGCGACATGGGATGGCAGGGAAGGCGCAGTACCAGGGTGAACAGAGTAAATAGAGGCTTTCCTTCTGACAGCTGGGGAGGCTGCCCAGTGCCAGTCACCTGGCAACCAAGCCTCACCTCACACAGGGCCAGGATTCTACTTGCCATGTCCTCAGCAGAGCTCACATTTCCTGCTTCTGAGACAGCCTCAGGCCAGGGACTATGGGCAGTAAGGGATGAGATGTCCCCAGTCTCTAGCAGAAATCAGGATCAGTCTAGTATCACAGACTTCCAGGTGTCTGTATTTTCTGCTCTGGTCCCTTAGGGCCAGACCCCACCCCAGCCCAATGCAGGCTGAAGACAGGGAGTCTGGGCTTTGATTCAGAGGACTAGTCCTTGAGCTATGGGCTCCTGGCACAATCTTCATGGTGCAACACCATGATGCTTGGGTCCTCAGCACAATCTTTTCAGTCCTGCCAATCTAATCTCCCCCAACAGCCTCATCCCACACGACCTTCCTAACAGCAGCCCACAGCTTAGAGAGATAAGAACAGTACTTTAATTTCATGTCAACAATGACACTGTGTAACAACACAAGGAAGAGACAGTGGAGGGGCAGAGAAGATGGTCAGGTTTCCCGCTCCCTCACCAGCCTTGGTTTCAACGCCAGATCCCAGGAACCTGTAAGCACTTTACCCAGCATCTCTGGAGTGGGAACGGGCAGGGGGTTGGAAATCGGAGGCTCAGAACGCATAGAAGAGCGGATGGCCAGACTGGGGAGAAGCCTGTGAGGGAGGGGCTGGAGGGCTGGAGGCGCCCCTAGCGCAGGTCTTCAGCAGTGAACATGCCCCTGGCTCTGCGCAGGATGGAGTCCTTGGCAGCGTCATAGGGGTGCTCCTTGGACGGGATCTCCAGGACGGCGGGGATGGAGCGCTGGTGGGCGTCCAGTGCATGACGCACCATCTCGGCAATGTACTGGTTGATGAGGATGATGCCGATGTCGTCTCGGTTTAGAAACTGCCTGTTGGGAGAGATGAGGAAAACGGTCCAGGGCAGCTCTGATGGTCTCTCTCTGCTGCCCACAGCCCATTCTCTGATGGTCTCTCTCTGCTGCCCACAGCCCATTCTCTGATGGTCTCTCTCTGCTGCCCACAGCCCATTCGGAAGCTGGGCTGTGGAAGGGAATGGACATGACCCAGAGAATGCAGAGGACACGAGAAAAGATTGTCTGATGGCATAATGCCTAAGGTATCTGTTAACCAGAAGGTTGGCAGTTCAAACCCACCAGCTGCTCTGTGGAAGGAAGAGGGGGCAATATATCTCTGTGAAGATTTCCGCCTTGGGAACCCAATGGGGGTCGCTATGAGTCGGAATCAACTCAATGGCAGTGAGTTTGGTTTTTGTTTTCTCAATTCTGTCAAGAACCAATTTCTATCTCCCTGCTGAGAAGGCTTTCAAGTCACTGATAATGAAGATGAGGGGGGCCAGTGTATACAATGTGCTGCCTTGCGTAAGAAAACACAAGTTACTGTCAAGTCAATTCTGACTCAGATGTTTGTCAGAGAACTGCACTCCACAGGACTTTTAATGGCTGCTTTTTTAGTAGATTGCCAAGGCAGCACTGGGTGGACTTGAACCTCCAACCTTCTGGTTAGCAGATAAGGGTGTCAGCTGCTTGCCCCACCCAGGGACACCTTGTGGGGAGATTAAGGGTATAGATGTGTACTCCCTTATAGTACATAATACTAGAAAGATAATAAAGAAACAAAGTGATCTTCCAACAGAAGGGTAATGAGGTGGAAAATGACATGGGTGGGAGTGAGACCTTTCGGTGCATACCTTTTTAAACATCAATTTGCAAACCATACAAACACATTAATTTTTTAAAGGAAAACAAATTAAATAAATTAAAAACATAATATAAAATAGGGCTGATGACTGAAGATCTGTGCTGATGAGGGCAGGGAATTTTTAAAAATACATTTGATTGAAATATAATTTATGTACAGTGACACACAAAACTACAGTAACATGGGTCAATGCATTTTTTTTTTTCTGTGTTCCCTCTGAAGGCAGGGAATTTTTGCATGAGTCAGGAACACAAAACAGGAAGAGGAAAATCAGAAATGAAGTAATCTATTTTCTACACAGATTCAACCTGACATTGCGATCTTCCTAACCCATCCATGACCTTCCATACAGTAATGTCCCAGGCACTGGGCTAGATTAGACTTGATGATTCTTAAGATCCCATTAGGTTGGAAACATGGAAAATTCGAGGAATGGTGTGTCCTCCTTCATGACAACTTGAGTCAGTTTACCAGACTGCCTAGGGGTCAGCAGAGAGCATCCACCCCTGTCCAGTCCGTCAGACCCCAGGCAGCAGGAACCAGTCTCAGCCGCAGCTCTGGGCTGGGCTGTTTAGGAGGCAGCAGGTAGGAGTGGTTTCCTCCTGAGACTTGGCACAGGGGCCCTAGAGAAGGGGGGAGGGGAACAAGAGGAGGTTGGCACCCTCAATTCTAGTCACCAGGGCACCTCCTGGACTAACAGGCCTGTTCACACCCATACATGAAGCTATCACCTTCCAGCCAGGGCAGGATGTGAGGAGGGGGACTTCCAGTGCAAGAACTGCCCAAGGTCTTAGCAGGAAGGTAGGCACAGTACTGATATTCTAACCCTTGGGAAGACGAATTGGAAATGTCCACGACAGCCGGGGACCCGCACAAGCCGAGTGAGAACCAGCTTATGAGGCAGGCAGGGTGAGACAGGGTTCAAACCCCAGTTCTGCCTCTTACCAGAGGGGTGTGACCTTGGGTCTATCCCTCAACCTCTCTGAAATTTACCTTTCTCATCTATAAGTAGGAATAATAACCCCTACGTTTCAGGACAACTGTGAGCTTTGTAATGGAGATCAAAGCACAACAAAGCCCGAGCACTGCCTTGATGCCGAATGTAGTTCCTTTGGGGTCAATCGCAGAACAGCCAAGTGCTTGCAAGGCTCGGATCCTGCTCTACGAACAGCGTGGGGGTCTCCGAAAGATACGCTGCGGACGCCCACCTACGTCAGAGACAGAGTAGACCGTGGGACGGCGCCCGTCCCAGCTCTGCTCCCCTCCTTTCTGACACATGGATATGTGAGGGGCGCGCTCACGCACCTGACATAGCCCCGGCCCCATGGAGCCCCAAAAAGGAACCTGAAGCGCTGGGACGGCAGAGGCCTCTGCTCCGCAAGGGCGTTCAGACTTCCCGAACCCCCAGTGTGGCGTCTGACACCTCGGTCAGATCTGCAAAGCCCCGCGCAGGGCCCGGCCGAATCTCAGTCGCCTCCTCCCTCTCTGCGCGCCCGCCAGACCACTGAAGGGCCGTTCCAGGCCTAGCGGGCCACCGTACCGGAAAGTGTCTTCGATCTCATTGATGGTTGTATCCTTTTCGACCACCAAGAAATTCGGATGGCGGTTCTTGTTAAGCTCCCCTATGCCACCCAGCAAGAAGCCGGTCACCGTGTCCTCGTCTCCGATCACCGCGATGAGCTTCCCCGCCATCCTCGCAGTTGGCAGAGCTCAACCCGTGACTGCCCGAGGTAACCGAAGCCCCGCCCCCATAGGCGTCCCCTTTTCAGCCTCACCCGCCCCCCTTTAGACATGCGCAGTTCTCACACCCTGCCTTCTGAAGCATGCGCATTAAGAGCAAAGTAACTTCACTCTGACTACGCCTGCGCCATAAAGAAAGGCCGTAACCAACGGACTACGTATTCCAGAAGGCCTGGCGGCAGCGAGCTCCCTCAGACAGGGTTCTCCCTTCGTTTATTTGTTCAAATGTTCGTTCGTTCACTTGTTTGTTCGACAACTGTATTAAGCCTAGCGTTGTTGGACGCCGACAACACAGAGATTTGTTGTTGTTGTATGCCGTCGAGTCGGCCCCGACTCATTGCGACCCCTCCTTGGGTTTCAGAGGCAGTATCACTACGGAAGTAGGATTGCCTAACCTTCCTTCCGAGGAGTGGCTGGCGAGTTTGAACCGCCAGCCTTCTGGTTAGCGGTCAAGTGCCTTAGGCACTATGCTACCAGAGCTCCTACACAGAGATTAGACAACACAATGTTACCTGTACTCGAGGACAAAGTCTGTATCAAGTTTAAACCAAAAACAAAACTGCCGTCGAGTCGATTGAGTTTGGCACATCGTTAATCATTATTCAATACGTATTTGTTCAATTAATAAAAGAATGGACAAGTTAATGATACTATACTGAAGTAGAGTTAAGCGAACAGGCAATTAATTACAAGACGGTGGGAAGCCACTGAAGGATGTCGAGCAAAGGAGTGATACCGCCTCTGGGCGGACTTGAACTCCCACCATTTGTGTTTTAGAGGGACTCTTGTGACTGTGTTGGGTGCAGAGGCAGACCGGACGAGGAGAGACCGTTGAGGCCACTGTGATGAGAGATGGTAGCTGGAACTCAGTGGCAACGAGGAATGTGGAGAAGTGGAAGGAGTTGGGGTGAGGAGTTGCGAGACAGAATGGGCAAAACGGGTTTGGGGGTTGGATGTGTCTGAGGAAGGATGGAGATAGAGTTAGGTAGAGCGAAGAGACCCACATGACTCCCACATTCCTGGCCACGGTACCTATATGCATGGGAGTAACGTTCTGAGAGAGTGAACTCTGAGGAACAGGTTGAAGGCAAAGTTCCACTCTTCCCTCCTTTTCAACAAACAGGCGCCCCAGACGTCAGAGACATGATTAGTGAGTTTGGAGTATAGAATGCAGTCTAGTGCTTATATATGTGCAGGCTTGTGATTTGAACATACCCAGGTTCAAATCTCAGCCCTACTGTTTGTTGTTGTTGTTATGTGCCATCGAGTTGGGCCGGACTCATAGCGACCACTTCTTGGGTTTCCGAGGCGGTATCACTACGGAAGTAGATTGCCCAACCATCCTTCCGAGGAGTGGCTGGTGGATTTGAACTGCCAGCCTTCTGGTTAGCAGTCAAGTGCCTTAGACACTATGGTATCAGAGCTCCTGCCCTGCTATTAGAGGTACAATTTTGGTCTCCTCACCGAAATTCTTAGGGAGCTCTGATAGCATAGTGCCTAAGGCACTTGACTGCTAACCAGAAGGCTGGCGGTTCAAATCCACCAGCCACTCCTCGGAAGGAAGGTTGGGCAATCCTACTTCCGTAGTGATACTGCCTCGGAAACCCAAGGAGGGGTCGCTATGAGTCGGGTCTGACTCGACGGCACATAACAACAACAACAACGAAATTCTTAGGGCTTGGTTTCCTGCGATAATAATGTGCTCAGCTCATGTTGCTTTCATGAGGATTCAGTGAGATGGGGCCCGTGAATGTCAGCATCACGCAGCACACCCTATGGTTGGGTAAGAAAAGCTGAACCAGGGGTCTATGAACGTATCAACAAACTGAGGAGGGCAGTTGAGGCTGAGGCAGCCAGAGGAAGATGGAGAGAGAGGGCAGACAGTGAGAAGGAGTGTGAGAAAGTGTGAGAAAGCACCTAGCTTAGTGCCTGACAGAGCGCAGGCCTCAGTGGCCACCTTTGCTGGGTTTGACAGGTAGAGGAAGGATCTAGGCCAACACTACAGTCATCCCCCACTCATACCTTCATCCACCCAACATTTGTCCATTTACCAAATGTGCCTGTGATGAGGGGTTGAAGACAAGAGATTGATAAAACACAGTTGTTGTCCTTAAGGAGCTCTGTGCAGGACTGAGGAGGAGAAAATATGAGGTAGGGGGACATACGGTAAAAAGCGGTACTGGGGAGATCTGGCGGGGGTGGGATCCAGAGTGGGCAGTGGGGAGGGACCTCTTCCTCGGAGGCAGAGGGAAAGAAACTTCTAGAGAAGTGAGGAGGCAGATGGGTATTGCATGATGTGAGGAGGAGGGGAATTAGGAGCTAGGGCTGCGTCGTTTGGATCTCCTCTGGCAGGCCCTCCACCTTGTGCTGAGTATGTGGGCACTGGTCTAGATTTGGGGGTTTGATTGCATGGAATTCTTTGCCCCGCTCTACCAGTTGCTCATTCATGCGGGACACCTGTATAGGGCCGGGGAGCTCACAGTCTGGTGGAAGAGGCCAAGCAGTGGATACATGGTCACAGGTCAGGGTAGTGAACGCAGCCACAGAGATATGCCCCAGGGCACTGTGGTAGCTGAGGGGTCTGCTCCAGGAGGGGCAGGGATGGGTCTGGGGCAACTTCCCGTTACTCAGAACGGTAAGAGGGGGAAAAGGGTGGGGGCAAGGATGTTTGCAGGGCCCAGACTGCATCATGGGTGTCCGGGAAACGAGGCCATGAAGCAGCCTTGGAGGTGGGAACACAGGGGGTTGGGCGCACACTACTGACTCACAGGGGCTCTGGAACAAGTGAGTGGGGGAGGCAGGGCTTTGAGCCTGGGGGCCTGGGAGGCCTTGTTAAGCAGAGTGGATTTCCACCGGAGCAGGAAGGAACCACAGGAGGGTCTTAACCCAGCGAGGGGCATCATCCCACTCATGTGGACTCCCCTCTGGCTGCAGCCAGGCTGGAAGAGGCTGGCCCGGGCCAGGAGACTGGTTCAGAGCCTGGTGCAGATGTTCAGGAAGGAGGCCTCCAGCAAGCCTTGATTGGGGCTTGAGGGTGGGGCTGGAGCTTTGACCCAAGAGCTGGTTGGAGTGAGGGCTGTGGGATTTGTCTGTGGTTCCCACTGCCTGCTGGGGGGAGGCATTCCTGACCGAGGCTCACTGTATGAAGGTCCTAATGTGAAGAATACCCTTGAGGTCAGGTTCAACAGAAACTGGCCTCCAAGTGGTCCGGGCCGTCTTCTGGAACCGTGTCCACCTTGTCTTCTACCAGCCAGCCTTCCAGCTGTGTGAGGAGTAAGCCCATGTCCCTGAGCCTTCATTTCTTGTTCTTTCATGCATTCCACCAACGCCCCAAACCGAAAAACCGAAAACTAAATTCACTGCCATCAAGTTGGTTCCGACTCATAACCACCCCTCCTTGGGTTTCCGAGGTGGTATCTCTATCAAACAGGTGTCTTTCATGACTGACCCAGAGGTCAGTCCTCCAGGAGACAGCCAGCTAGCCTCAGCCTCCTTGGGACCTGATTTAGTGTCCACAGTGATACTGCCTCAGAAACCCAAGGGGGGGTCGCTATGAGTTGGGTCCGACTCAGCGGCACATAACAACAACAGGTGAGGAAGGGCCAGCGTGGAGCGCACAGCCCAAGAAACAGCCAGAGCCTTTGCGACAGGCCACAAACTTTATTTGGGTCTGGAGTTTTCCACCTAAGCGGTTCCCGGCTGAGCCGCATGACACGTGCAAAAGTCCCCCCAGAAAGCTGGGCCTCGCAGTGCGTACAAAAGGCCCCCATGGGGCAGAGCTGTGCAACCGTAAAAAAAAAAAAAAGAAAACTATGTTTGAGCGAGAACTCAGTCCCCCAGGAACCTGGCTCGGAGTACCATTCCCCGACCGTCCGCGTGCTGCACTGCTGCGGTTCCGGGTCCGTTTTCTTCCCCAATTGTGCTTTCTTTTCCGAGTCCTGAATGCTCTGGGGCAGTCCTCAGGGTGAGGAGGCCTGGCCAGCGGTGCAGGTTGAGGTGGTCTCTCACACACAAACCCCCCAACACACACAGGCCCCCGCTGGCCTCAGCCCCACAGAAAACTCAGGACTTCCCTGGCCCACCTCCACCTCCCCACCCCCCGGTGTCACAGCTTCTTCCCCTGAGCCTGGCATCTCATGTCCCAGTCAAGGGGAGAGACACTGCTGGGAGACAGACAAGACCCCAGGGGACATGGTGGGAGGGGAGGTTGTGCCCTTGGCCTCATACCCAGTCAGGTGTCTTTCATGTCTGAGTTGGTGCATGTGTGCCTGGGTGGGGTGCATCTAAGTGTGTGTGAGTGTGTGTGGCCAGAGGGGTGGGGGCCAAGGCTGGGGGAGGCACTCTTGGGATTCAGGGCACATTGACTTTGAAGGGGCTTCCAGGGACGCTTTCGTCGCCCCACTTGACGATCAGAATGTAGTCCCCTTTCTCCTTGACGGTGTAGGTGACGTTGTACACCCGATTGCCCATGTGTTTCACGTACACTTCCTCGCAGGGCGTCTTGGGCCCATGCACGCCCACCATCATCATGTTGGTGCCTGAAGGGGGAGGCGAGAGGGCTGGGTTCACACCAGGTACGGCACCCACCACAGCTTACACCCTGCACCCCAGCCTCTTCTCCTGGCCACACCCAGCCGGCCTCCCTCCGGCTCCCAAGCCTGCCTGCTTTGCTGCAGTCCACAGTGAAGGAGTTCTTCTGGCCCACAAAGGCCTGGGACAGCCCGGGGCCCCGCGTCACCACCTTGCTGGCGTCTGAGGAGAACTTAGGGATGGAGCTGTAGCTGGAGCCCCGGCTTGAGGACGACTTGGTCACAGTCTCTACCAGAACCGTGGATGTTTCATGCAGGCTGTGGCCCCCAGACAGCCGGGGACCTGCGGAGCAGAACGGCCTGGTCAGAGGGGCTTCGTGCCCGGTCCTCAGCCAGTACTGACAACCCGAAAGCTAAAGCACTTGGGGTGCTGGGTACCCAGGAAAGGACCCCCACCCCCATTCCTCAGCTGCAGCGTCCCAGGAGCGGCAGCCCCGCTCAAACAGGTGCCCGAGCTCCCAGCTCCAGTCCTTGGTTGGTAGGACTCGCCCCCTGCCCCCAGGCTTTGTCTGGAAACTCGAGTTATTCCCAGTGTAAGAGATCTTCCTTAAGAAGGAAGACACAGCCCACTAACAGTTCTAGTAGCTTCAACACGGGAAGCTTGTAATAGTCACTGACCCCTATCTTCTTGGAAGCAAGAAAGACGGGAAGTCAGGAGGGAAGGAACTTAAGCAGAGGAGCCCTTCTGATGGAAGAGTCATGGGAAGTGACAGCAATAAACAGGGAGAATGATTGTCAACAGTGACTACACACAGCCCCCGAGAACGGTTTGCTGTGTAAAGCCAGGTAACCTCAATTAGCAATCACTTGTCCGTGATGTTTAGGGCAGACGGTGGGATGGGAATGCCTGCTGGAGCCGTCAGGCTGGGCTAGGCTGCCAACTGGACTGACTGGACCTCCCCACCCTGGGGCACTCACCTGTGACCTTGGCCTTGAAGGGGCTGCCCACGATGTGCTGGGGGCCACCGTACTTGATGGCAATGAGGTAGTTGCCAGGGGCCATGGGAGTGTAAGTGACTACGTGGCCCTCGGGACATTCCCGACAGTCCAGCTGCACCTTGGAGGGGCCATCGATGGTGACGGACAAGGCCCCAGAGCCCGCGTTCAGGGTGTTCACGATGAACTCTGATGACACGCCTGTGGGGCCGGAGGCAGCCAGGTTGTAGCAGGGGAGCTTCCAGCCCAGAGCGAGACTGGGTCTCGTCTCCTCTGAGCAGCCCCTGCGAGGACTCGGGCCTGGTTAATCACTGCACCTGCCTGAGAACAAGGTGGCACAGGACCCCAGGGCCCCTCCTCCACCCCAGCCCCGAGCACTCACCAGTAGTGCCCCCCTCGAGCCCGGGGCCATAGGCTGACACCAGGCCTGGATCTCCTGCCTGGCTTTGCTCCCCAACACGGATCTTGAAGGGACTGCCAGGTATGTGGGCACCATTAAACTTGACATCAATGGAGTGGACGCCATTCTCATGGGGGATGAAGCGGATGGTGTGCTTGTCTGTGGGGCAGAGCGTTGGTGGGTGAGGCTTTGTCCTCCCCTGCCTTCCCTGAGAGCCCCAGCCTGGGCAGGGGTGGCAGGGCCAGCTCACCACTGTCCAGCTCGGAGACATAGCACTCTTCCACCGCGCCTGAGGGCGTGTGCACCCTGGCATCGATCACACCCCGCGCACCGTTCAGCTGCACCGCAAAGGATGCCGGCTGGTTCACCTTGAGCCCCGTCTCCTGCAGAGACCACAGGGGATACTGACTGCTCGGAGAGCCAGGTCTGGAGAGGCCATTCTGCAGCCCAGCCTGCTCTCGCTGTCACCCCTGCCCGGAGGCTCCCTCCTCCCAGCCCATGCCGGCCCTGCCTGCTGGCCCCACTTGGAGGGGAGGTTCCTGACAGGCCAAGGAGGGAGGTGGGAGGCAGAGGCGGGGTCTGTGACCCTCTGCATCTGCTTGCTATGAGGTGGACACCAGTCTAGGTGTTCCAAGAATGGAGGGGGCGCAGGGGAGAAGATAACATGCCCAGTCCAGGCTGGGGAAGAAAGCCACAGACACTGTAAAGCAGGCCCAACAGTGAGGAAGCAAGTGCTTGACAGAGCTTTGTGGACTGTGAGCTCTCAGCTACTCAGAGGAGGCAAGATGAGTGTGGCCTGGATGGCCCCGGTGGGCTTCCTGGAGGAAGTGGGCCAGGGGGGAGGACTGGAGAGGGCACAGGGAGGTCTCTGGGGGGAGATGAAGGTGAGCCTGGGGCCGGGGCCCCTGAGGATAACCAAGAGAAGCCTGAGGGGAGCTGGGAGGGGCTAGGGCGGGAACCCTGAAAGAGCTCAGGGCCTCTCCTGGCAGGCTGCCTTACAGAATGTGCCCTTAACCCTTGCCCTGCTGGCCTGCACGTGCCAGTTTGTCTGCTGAGAGCCTGCTCTGCACACAATCATTACAGGATAAAAGGAAGACCCTGCTCGCTCATCGAGTATGGATGCCATCTACCTACAACTCCCAACAGGCCTGCAGAGGCCGGCAGAGGGTCCAAGCCCAGGCTCTGGCAGCCACGTGCAGTTCACGGAGAGATGAGCCCCTCTGAGCTGCTTGCAAAACCTATGTACTATCATTTTGCATTTCTTTTATGTGCCTAATATGTTTTGGCTTCTAGTTTATTTAGAAATCTCAGAGGTGGGACAAAGTCCCAGTAACAGGAAGGGGCAGGTGGTGGTAAGGACAGGGAGATGAGACTAGAAGCCAGAAATAAACCTGGGAGCCCGAGGGCAGGACCATCTGATTGGGCAAAGGGATGTGTCTCTGGGCTTATTTCCTCTTTCCCCTTGTGCCAAGCCCTGTGCTAGACAGACAGGCAGAGGAAACTTCTGTCCTCCACTGTCATCTGTCGGGGGACACACACCTGGAGGCTGGTGACTGTGAGGCGGCGGGCGTCATCCGAGAGGGAGGCCACCGGCACCACGAAGGGGCTATCTGGGATGTGCTCATCATTGAACTTGATGGAGACCTCATAGTCACCTGGGGAAGGGAGGCCAATCAGCCCAGGCACCGGGATGGGGACGGCAGGGACGAACCACCCCTGCTTGGCTTATCCCAGGATAGACTCCTGGGACCAGGGATCAGCTCTGGAGACAGACACACGCTCCCAGGGGTGTGGGGTGGAGGGAGGCAGAGCAGAGAGAAAGCAAGGGGCCAGGCAATGAAGTGTCTGTAGCCTCGAGTAGCTGGTGAGCAGAAGCAGCCGGGAAGGTCAGGCGCACCCAGCCCCCACGCCTAGCGTGACACCCACCTGGCTCCTGGACAACATAGGAGACGCCACAGGAGCCATCCTTGCGGTCCTCAAATGCAATCTCGGCCTTGCTGGGCCCTTCCACGGCGATGGACAGGCCCCCGGCGCCTGCCTCTCGGGTCCAGATGCTGAACTCGGCTGGGATGAGGGCAGGGCAGGGTGGCTCTCAGCACCGTCACTGTCACCCTGGCTATCCCGGCCCCCTCCCACCCCTGGCCCCCTGCTGCTTACCTGGCACGCCGGCCACACCCCGCTCCAGCCCTGTGCCTCCAGCCCGAACCTTGTGGGCCCCACCTTCGCCCAACGGCCCCACTGTGAACTGGAAGGGGCTGCCGGGCACGTGCTGGCCGCGGTACTTGACAGTGACCGTGTGGGGCCCCATCTCCTGGGGCACAAAGCGCACACTGTATGCGCTGTCCTCCCCCTCCACGATCTCTGCAGCTTCCGTCTTGCCTGACGGGCTAGTCACCTGAGCAGCCATGTCCTGAGAGCTGGCCTCACCTGCAGAGGGTGGGAACAGTCAGGGCCACGCTAGGGCAGCTCCTGGCCCAGGACCTCTCCTCCCTCCTCGGCTCTGACCAGCCCTGGCCAGCTGGGCCTGGCTGACCACCCCCTCCCTATGCTGACCCAAAGACGGAAGGTGTGCCCTCCTCACCCCCACCCCACGAGGACCCCACCAGCCTGGCTCCCCCCGCTCACCCTCCTGCTGCCGGCTGATGCTGCCAAAGGAGCCCAGGCGTTCCCGGCCCAGGAAGTCCCCGAAGACGGCAGGGAAAGGGTCTCCGCCCACCTGGGTGGACTCCTCCACCCGCACCTCCCGCTTGGTCTCCCCGCCTCGCGTCTTGCTGATCTCTGTGCGCTCGGTGCGTGTGTACGTGTGGCTGCTGCGTGTGAAGGTGCGTGTCAGGCGCTCCTGGGCTGACACCATCTGGAACCAGTTCCCTGTGGGGTGAAACACCCAGAGAGAGGAGGCGGGTTCGGTGAGAGAGACCCAGGGCTGAACCTCCAGGAGCTGCTCCACAGCCAGCCGCAGCCCCGTCCCACCAGCACCTGCCCTGCCCAGGCTCTCCCAGCTCCCACCTGGGATCTTGAGGTTGAGGTCGCAGGTGCTGCCGATGGTGGCAATGGATGGTGCCTGTCTGCGCCGTGTGATGCTCTCCTTCATGCGGCCCTCACCAGTGACCTTCACAGTGAACGGGCTTCCTGCAGGGAAGAAGAAGGGTCAGGCTCTCAGACCATCACCACTAGCCTACTGGTCTCCCCTGCCCACTGCAGCCCAGAGCCTCACCAGGCACGTGCTTGTCGGCGAACTTGATGTTGATGATGTAGGTGCCGGGCTCTGTGGGGCAGTAGGTAACTTTGCACGTGCCGTCCTCCATGTCCTCGCAGTTGATGTCCACCTTGCTAGGGCCTTCGATACTCAGCCCCAGGCCTCCATAACCTGGGAGAAAGAGAGGGACACGTCTCCTTTGGTCCCTGCTGTCCACTGCCCACTGCCACTCTCCTCTGTCCAGACCGCAGGCTCTGCACAGAGTGGGGACCCATTGTGCACAGTGACCACTACTGATGCGCTTGGCAGGAGAGTGAGCCAAGCACTCCCTTGAGAGCTGAAGGTAGGTCTGGAAAATTCCCTGAGGTAGGTCTCTCGGGTTCCAGGGAATGAGGGAGAAACAGAGCCTCAGGACAGCTGGACTTTCCCTTTGGGGTGACACGGGGATGTTCATGCCCCCAGAATGTAAATCCCAGTAGGTTCTGGGAGTGCAGGGAGGAGGGTCTGGCCAGGGAGAAGGCAGCACCAGCTGAAGCTGGACACCCCTGGGGGCTCTGGCAGACATACCTGCATTGCGTGTGTCCACGATGAACTCTGCCACCTGGAAGGTGTGCCCCTCAGACAGGCCCTTGCCCCAGACCCGCACCTTGCTGGCGTCCCCGATCTCAGATGGCCCCACGAGGATCTTGAAGGGGCTGTTGGTGACGTGCTTGCCACTCTTGCGCACGCTCACCACGTGCTCCCCCACCTCCTTGGGGGTGAAGGAGATCCCTGTAGAGATGTGGGCATCAGGCACGGGCCTGGGTCTGGCCGGGCATCCCTGTCCTCCCAGCCCCTCCTCCCAGGCTCCTGCTGGGCGCGGTGCTCACCGATGTGCCGGTTGGGCAGGCGCTTGAGCAGACAGGGCTCCTCGTTGCCTGAGGGGGCACGGATGCTGGCGGTCAACTGGCTCAGGTCACTCTCTGTGATCTTCAGTGACACATCCGTGGATGTGCCCACGTTCAGCTGTGACGTCCTCATCGAGTCGTCCCCTAGAGGAGGTTTGGGGATCAGGGAGTTGCTACTCCATGTCGGTGCTGCTGTCGTGGGGTTCAGGAGAACTGGCAGGCCCTGCTGGACTCAGTTTGAGTCTGGAGGCCACACGCAGGCACACAGAGGCCTGAGGCCTGGGGCAGCATGGCTTCAATCCCACATTAGCTGCCAGAAACTGCTGCTGGGCCTAGCACCCCAGCTCCCCTCAGAGAACCTCTGCAGATGCATCCTTCCCAAACGTGTCAAGCCCCAAAAAGAACCTTTGGGTATTTTAATCTTGAGTCATGTGGTTTTGCAGAAATAAAACACTAGGCTGGACCACCCAGACCTCAGCGCCAGCCCTGATGAGTGTGGCTCTGAGCAAGCTGCCTAAACTCAGGGACTGGTTTCCTTGTCTGCGAGGAGAGATTACTAACACCCTGATGCCTTGAGAGTTCCTGCAAAGACTGAATGAGATCCTACGTTTCCGAGCACAGGGGTGGTGGAACGTTTCCTACCTGCTGTAGAAAATAATCTTTACATTTATCCCAAATGACCTCTCACACGAGGGGCCTCTGCCCTCATGTCTGGAGTGACTCAACACACTGGGCTTGAAAATACACCATATGCTGGGCATGTGTGTGCATATGTGTGTAGTGTATGTGCACACATGTGTATGAATGTGTGTACATGTGCGCACACACATGTGTGCAGTGTGTGCACTGTGTATACATGCGTGTTCACAGTGTGTACTGTGTGTTTGCACATGTGCATGCACGTGTGTGCACATGTGTAGTATGTGCATAGGTGTGTGAATAGTATGTGGCATGTGCACATATGTGCACGTGGGCATGAACGTGTGTGTAGTGTGTGTTGCTGTACGTGCCAGTGTGTCCACCCCACCTGTGATCTTGGCTGTGAAGGGACTCCCCGGGATGTGCTTGTCATCGAAGCGCACAATGATGCTGTAGTCCCCGGGCGCCGTGGGCAGGTAGGACACAGTGCAGGTGCCATCTTTGTTGTCCTTGCAGGTGATCTCTGCCTTGGATGGGCCCTCCACAGCCAGGGACAGACCACCTGTAGGTGGAGGTGGGACTAGGAGGTCCTGCCTCTCTGCAGTGCTTCGCTGATCCCCAACCCCAACCCTGTGCCTGCAGCCCCTACCTTCCCCAGCATCCTTGGTGACGATGGTGAAGGTGGCCGGCTTGTTGACCATGCCGTGGCTCAGGCCTGGCCCGTAGGCACTCACATGGCGACTGTTGATGGCGTCCACATAGAACTGCAGGGGGCTCCCTGGGGACAACACAGGGGGTTGGGTCAGTGGGGGGCCAGGGGCTGAGCCCACCTTGGCACCCAGCAGCCTCCCCCCGAGCCTGTGTCTGTGCCTCTGGGAGCTGACTGGTGGCAGTCTGCCTCCCACCGGGCCCAGCCTCATGTCTGCATACAGCAGCCACTCAAGATGGATTTGCTGGAAGCAAGCTGAGAATGAAGTGGCGTGGCTCCCCTCACCAACTGGCCCCGCTCACCAGGGATGTGGTTGCCGTCATACTTGATGCCCATCTGGTGCAGGCCCTTCTCGGTGGGCGAGTACCTCACCGTGATGGTGCCGTCCTTGTTGTCTGTGATGTTGGGTCGTGCAGTTTTCCCGGAAGGCATCCGCACCTCCCCTGCCGGGCAGACATGGTTACCACAGGACCCCGGCTGCTCCCACCACAAACCCCCTGCTGGCCCAGGCCCCCACTCCTGTGTGGTTCTGTGTCTACCCAGAGACCAAGTGTCCAGAGACAGCAGACTTCAGGCTGAGTTTCAGCTCTGCCAGCTTGCTGTGTGGCCTTGGGTAGCTCACGTCCCCTCTCTGGGCCCCGGTTTTCATCTCCAAGGTGAGGGTAGGCCTGGAGGAAGGCCCCAGGCAATACCTGTGAGCTCCCCTTTCTGCACGGTGAAGGGGATGACCAGGTTGAAGGGTCGTAGCATGGACTCCATGGGCTCCACGGGTACCACAGGCTCCTCGGTGGCCTGAGTGGGTGAGAGGGAACAGGCATTAGCTGTGGAAGGCCTGGGGCACTTGGCCTGAGCCATGACTGAAATCAAAGAGAATTCAGGAAAGAACAAGATAGTTAATGGTGAACTCAGGCAGGAGAGGCCTGTCAGCTGCAAGAGAAGCGATGTGTGCACCCCCCCACTGGGGTCCACCTGCCCAGCCTAGCTCCCACCTGCTCCCCAAGAGGCCCCAAACAATGTGCCCAGCAGCTCTGGGCGCTGAGGATCAGAAGAAGTGAAGCAGAGGAGAGCTGGACTGGTGGAGGCGACAGTAGCCAGTGTGCAGGGTAGGCACCAGGCCAGTAAGGAGCCTAGGGCCGGTGTAGCTCCTCCACGTGGGCCAAATGGTCACACGCCTGGGGAGGCAAGTCTCGGAGACCACAAGTGTGGCAGGCCATGCACTCAGCTCAAGGGACCAGGAGCTAACTCCAGCCTGACCCCCAAATCCAAAAATCCAGACCAGTTGCCATGGAGTCGATTCTGACTGATGACCACACGTGTTTCAGAGTAGAACTGCCCTAGCGGGTTTTCGTGGCTGGGACCTTTCGGAAGCAGACAGATCTTTCTTCCAAGGTGCCTCCGGTGGGTTCGAACCACCAAGCTTTCAGTTAGCAGTCCAGCGTTTAATCGTTTGTGCCCCTGAGGGACTCCTGGGCTAGCCCAGGGACCCAAAATCCTGAGCTGCCCAGAGGGCAGGACAGATGCCTTGGTTGCTTCACCCTCTGCATCCTCCTGCAGGGCCACCTCTGGGGAGATGATGCCGGGGACACTGGGTGTGAGGGTCAAGAGGAAAATGAGTTCCTCCAGAGTGGGCCTCACCATCCATGCGGCCAGAGGCAGGGCTAGGCTCCCCAGGCACTTTGGGAAATGTGGTCCCAGCACCTGGCCTAGAATCATCAGATGTTGGCACAGGTCTGCGATTCCTGCTGCTGCTGGGAGAGTCCGCCCCAGCCCCCCGAGCCTTGCCACAGCTGAGAGAACCCCCCCAACACACACTCCCGTCGCGGCCTGGAGCTTACCAGCACGTGGAAGGGGCTGTTGGGGATGTGCTCGCCTCCGAAGCGAATGGTGATGACGTACTTGCCCGGCTCGGGCGCTGTGTAGTAGATGTCAAAGGTGCCATCGTGGTTCTCAACCACGTCCACGTCAAGCTCGGCCCCATCAGGCGTGGACACTGTGCATGTCACCTTCCCCTTGCCTGCTGCCTTGGCGTCCACGGTGATCACCGTCTCCTCCCCGATCTGGATGCGGGGACCCAGGCAGGCGCCTGCCACACAAAGGTGCCAAGTCAGGGGCCAGTGGGGGCTGAGCCCAGCCCCTCCCTGTTCCCTGCTGTCCTATGCCACCTGGCCCTCAGCAAGAAGATGGAGGCACTCACCCAGGCCATGGCCGCCGATGGACACTGGAAAGAGAACAAGAGTGTGAGGGTGTATAGACCCTGGATTGGGTGGAAGGCTGGGAGGGGGGAGGACGGGCCCGCTGGGGACTGGGCCTGGGACCTGGAGGGCTTTGAGGAGGTGTGCCCGTGGTAAGCAGAGGCAGATGGGGGCGGGTGGGTGCCCACCTGTGACGAGGCACTTGCTGGCATCCCCCGTGGGCAGGGCGTGAATGCAGAAGGGTGAGTACGGGATCTCGTCACCGCCGTACTTGATGGTGATGGTGTACCGGCCACTCATGTCCGGCAGATAGGACACAGTGTAAGTGCCATCCCCGTTGTCTCGGATGTTGGCCTTCTTGGGCTTGCCCTCAGGGTCCTAGGGGAGCAGCAGTGGTCAAGGCCTGCCCGAGCCTGGGCTGGACCTGAGGCAGGGGGGCCCATGGAGACTCACCAGGATCTGGACAGTGAGCAACCCCTCCCCGGCATCCCGGGCATCAATGGTGAACTCCACAGGGAAGCTGGCAGGGATGCCCGAGGCGTTGAGACCAGGCCCGCTGACCCGCACCTTGCTGGCATCATGGGCTGGGAGCACCTTGATCTTGAAGGGGCTTAAGAGGCAGAAGGGATGGACAGTTGGCTACGGGTCAGAAGGGGGCATCCCATCCCATGTTGGGCCTGGAGTCCTCCCCACATGCATGGGCAGGAAGGAAAAGAGCCAGCTCCCAGGGTTTAGCTCCCATCCTGAGTCTTGGGAAAGGCCCCTGGGGGACCCCATGGCAGAGCCTGAGCATGGCCTCCTCCTTCCCCAGGAAGAGGCTATGGTTCGTCTGAGGGTCCAAAGAACACCCTCGCCCGGCTTACAGCCCTTTCCCCCAGGTGCGGTTTTGTAGCTTCAGGCAATAAACGCTTAGCCCGAGGGGAGCCCCTGGGGCTACGCTGACTCCAGGGCGGAGAAGGAGGAGCCAGAGAGGGAGCCCTGGGGTGGCGAAGCAGCTGGGGCGGCTGGGACAGAGCAAAGCTGGGTAAGGGCCCTGCAGCTATGGCCCTGGGAGGGCCCCTGAGCTCAGCCACGGCGTGGGCGCGGCAGCTGGGCCTCACCTGCGTGGCACCTCTTGGTCAGCATACTTCACGGCTACCGTGTAGGGCCCATCAGTGGCCGGGGTGTAGTGGACAGTGTGAGTGCCGTCCCCGTTGTCACGCACCTCTACGGGCTCGGCTACACCTGGGCAGGGGAGCAGGTTTTAGCAGCGCCTCTCAGCACCCCATCCCATCTCCCTCCAACTGTTCCAGACGGTCCATACCTGTAGGGCCCAGTACGGCCACCTGCAGGGGGGCCCGGCCAGCCTGGCTGCAGTCCACTGTGAAGGTCTGGGGGACCCGGGCCCTGACGCCAGCCCCCAGGCCTGGCCCCGAGCACTTCACCTTTCCTGGGTCCACCACATCCTTCACTGGTACCCTGAACGGGCTCCCTGCAAGAAGAAGGGTGTCAGCCCCTGCCACCTGCCTGGGAGGGCCTCCCTGATACCAGGGGACCAACCCAGGAGGAGGAATTTCTTTCCACAGGCAGGCCAAAGCAGCATGACATGCTTAGGGACTTGCTAAGAAAACAGAAACAAGAATAAATGAACTTGGGCCCAGGCTGAAGCTGGACAGGCCTCACTCATTTGGGCCACAGGCCTGGAAAACGCCTTCCTAAATCAGTAACAAAAGAGCTCTGGTGGTGCTGTGGTTAAAGCATTGGGCTATTAAGCAAAAGGTCGGTGGTTCGAACCCACCAGCTACTCTGTGGGAGAAAAGTGAGGCAATCTGCTTCTGTAAAGATGTACAGCCTCAAAAACCCTATGGGGCAACCCTGTCCTATAGAGTCGCTATGAGTTGGAATCGACTCAAGGGCAGTGGGTTAAAAATGGACTACTTTAAAAAGACATGCACTGTTGATATTGTGGTTGATATAATAAAAAATATGTGAAGTTAGGTAAAATATGGTGAGGAAATTTGAGCAGGCCTGGATTATGCACTAACTGGAGAGGGGCCCAGCCGGTAGCTCTGCCCTGCAGGGGAGCAGGGCGACAGGAACTCCGTGGCTGCAGGCAGAGGGCAGCGAGGCAGTCTTCCCCTGACAGTCTGTGGGATCTGCATGCCCAAGGCTGCATCCCAGGTGGGGACTAGGATGCTAGGGCTGGGCCTCGGGGGGTGATGTGGAGGGCTGTGACAGCAGCAGCCACACCCTGGCTCTCGGCCCTGCCCCTAGCGCCAGAGCCTCCCTGTCCGTGTTCTCCCTCGACCTAGGCTACTCCCTGGCCCTGCTCCTAGGGGTCCTCTCTTCAAACCTCCACATCCGGCCTCCTTCTAGTTTCCCTCACTGAGCATGCACCCTGCTGCCCTCGCCCCAGCCCTCGCTGCGCACCTGGGATGGGCCGTCCCCCAAAGGTGATATTGACGTCGTAGTCTCCAGGGGTGAAGGGGATGTACTCTACAGTGCAGCTGCCATCCTTGTTGTCCTTGCAGGACATCTTTGCTTCCGAGGGGCCCTCAATGGCCAGGCCTAGGCCTCCGGTGCCAGCTCCCCTGTAAGACGACAGCCCCTCAGCTCAGCTAGGACCAGGAGAGGCGGAGGTGCAGGAGGGCAGGCTGCTAGGGGCCCAGCTGAGGCGGGCTGAGCTACCAGGGCTGATGTGGGATACCGGAAAGGCTTGCCCCTGGGCCACCCCTTGAGAAGGGATGGGGTTGGGGTGAGGCACACAAAGAAGGACAGAAAGACAGGATGACCTCAACCTCAGGGTTAAGGTCAGGAAGGAAAGGATACCTGGTCTCCACAGTGAAGCGGTTGGCCTTGTTGACCAAGCCGCCTTCCAGGCCTGGCCCAAAGGCCCGGACTCGGGTGGGGTCGCAGCCCTCTGTCACGCCCACTCGGAAGGGGCTCTTGGGCACAGCTACCTCATCATACAGCACCTCCACCAAGTGCACGCCTGGAAGCCAGAGCGCGAGGAGTCAGTGTGGGGGGAGTGCATTCACCCAGCCCACCCCAGGCCACTGGGACCCAGACCCCCGCCCTGACCCCCCGCCGGCCTCTCACCCTCTTCATAGGCCGTATACTGCACTCGGTAGGTGCCGTCCCCATTGTCTGTCACGTAGGTGTCTGTCTTAGCACCCGAGGGGTTGAGCACACGTGCTGTCACGTGGTTCCCTCCCGTGGCTGTTAGGGACCTTGCATCCACGGTGAACTCGGTGGTCACCTCACGCAGGACACCTGGGTCCCAAGAGAGGAGTGTTCAGCACAGCATGGGGGCAGCCCTCGCGTAGATGCTCACCCCCCCCCCCGGCTGCCTCTCACCCCCGTACCCCAAGGCTGCCCCTCGCTTGGGCCTACAAGCTTCCAGCTAAGCCCCAGCACTTGCTATCTTCCCTGGGAGCTCCCAGACCCTGGTCCATGGCCTCTGCCTTAGCTCCTCACACCACATGGTGACACATCCTGTTCACGTCAGCCCCCTCCTCAGGTTGTGAGTCCTTAAGTCTTACATTCCTCTTTGCAGCCCCCATACCCAGCACAGGGCTGGCCCCCAGCCCAGCAGGTAGACACTCAACCCTCCTGAACTGAGCGGACAGTCTCCTGCCACCCACTCCCTGATGCCCTCTCTCTGTACCCTGTAGGACAGGGTTCTTAGTTTTTCTGGATCCCGAGCCCAAAACACCAAACCAGTTGAACTGGAGTTGGGCCCGGCTCATGGGGCCCCAGGTTAGAACCATGTTCCACAGGATTTGCAGTGGCTGGTTTTTTTGGAAGTGGATCACTAAGCTTTTCTTCCCAGGCATGTCTGGGTGGATCTGAACCACCAACCTTTCACATAGTGAAACACATTGCCATCGAGTCAAATCCAACTCAGAGCAACTCCCGTTGGGTTTCCAAGGCTACAAATCTCTAGGGAAGTAGATCACCCCATCTTCCTTCCAAAAAATGGCTGGTGGGTTTGACTGCTGACCTTCTGGGTAGCAGCCAAATACCTTATCCACTATACCACCAGAGCTCCTAGTAAGTTAGTAGCAACCCCTTTTTCTGAATCAGGTACCCCTTCATCTGGTGGAAGTAGAGAATCTCCACAGAGAAACACCAGTGGGCAGACACAGTTGTGCCACGAGAGCAGATGCCAATTTCCCCTCCGTGGCCTGCCCTTCCCCTGGGCTCCTCCTCTGAGCTGTCTGAGTCCCTCAGGACCCTGGGACTTCTCCCCAGGCCCCTCCCCTCCCCTAGTACCCCCCAAGCCCTCACCGTGAGGCTCCACGCCAGGCCCAGAGACCTTGATGCCGCTGGTGTCAACAGCGGGCTGCACGTGGACACGGGTGGGGAACTTGGGTACAGGGTGCCCGCCATACTTGATAGTGATGGTGTAGGTGCCGGGGAAGGCGGGGCTGTAGGTGATGTGGTAGGTGCCGTCGGCGTTGTTGTGGATCAGCACCTCGGCCTTGACGCCGGCGTCTGAGAGGATCTCAATGGTCAGCTCAGCCTCGCCCGCCTCCGAGCAGTCCACGGTGAAGGTGGCGGCCTCACCAACCTTGCCACGCTCCAGGCCTGGCCCACTAGCCCGCACCTTGCTTGGGTCAAACACAGGCCGGATGGTGGCCTTAAAGGGCGAGCCAGGGATGTGGGCCTCGGCAAACAGGATGTTGATGGTGTACTCGCCCGGCTCTGTGGGCAGGTAGCTGACCGCACATGAGCCATCACCGTTGTCCTGGCACTCGATCTTGGCTTCACAGGGGCCCTCCACTGTCAGCCCCAGGCCACCTGTGCCAGCCCCCTTGGTGTCGATGGAGAATGGCGCTGGGCTGCCCACCAGCCCACCCTTGAGACCAGGGCCGTAAGCACAAACCTGGGGGGAGAAGCAGGAAGTGTGGGTCCCCTAAGCCTGGCTGCTCCTGTGCCCCACCCCCATCCCCAGCTCTCCACCCAGCTAAGCCCCTTCAGTCATAGCAGCTACAGTAGACTGCGTACTCAGTGCTACCCCTTATAGCAAGTCCAGAGAGTAGACAGAGGCAGGAAGAGAAGGAATCTGTCTAGTTAGTGGACCTGAGACTGAAGCCCACTCTGGCTCCAAGGCTGGCTCTTAATCATCGAGTTGTCTTCAGAGCAGGTCCTGGGGTAGGGGAACTCTGGCCCTGGGTCCCTGGCTGTGCCCACTCCCAAGTACCCAAGTCCCTCTGGCCTGTGTCCCTGTGACTCATCCATCTCCCCCCCGCAACCACCAGCCCCCAACTGCCCTGTCTCCTCACCTTGGAGGGGTCAGGTGGCAGAACACCTTCCACAGCAAAGGGGCTTCCAGGTACCAGGTGGCCATCATAGGTGATGTCTACCTTGTAGGGCCCCTCCTCAGGGGGCATGTAGCGCACAGCCTGGGTTTCGGCCCCACCCCCAGGCTCCAGCTTGCAGGGGATGGGCCGTCTTGAGGGTGAGGTCATCCGCACATCCAGCTGGCCCTGCCCGCCGGCCCCACGTGTGTTCACGGTGAATGCCTGCTCCTGCCCCACAGCCACCTCTGTGTAGGGAGCACAGGCACTGTGAGCAGAGACTCCAGCCCAGCCCACCCAACACTCCCTCCCTCCCAGAGCAGCTCTCGCCCACTTACTGCTGTTAAGGCCTTGCACTTTGACTTTGCTGAGGTCCAACGGGGGTGCCACATTCACCACAAAGGGGCTCTTGGGGACAGGGTCCCCACCATAAGTCACTGTCACTGCCATGTTGCCCTATTGGGTACAACAGCAGGTCAGAGCTGGGTGCCTCGGACACAGCTCAGCACGGTCTCCTTGACTCAGAGGCCCGTAGCAAGAGAGAGGACAGGGAGGCAGCCAGGAGGCCAGGAATACAGAACTGACCCTATGAGACCTGAGGGAGGAAACCAGACCCAGGTGGGCCGGGGGGGGGTGGGCGCACCTGCTGGACAGCTGTGTACTTGACCGTGTAGGAGTAGTCGTGGTTGTCAATGATCTCAAAGTCCCGCACAGCCTCGCCCTTGGCTGCCCCGGCAAAGTGCACATCCAGCTTGGCCTTGCCGGCACCCTTGGTCAGCACTGTGAAGTGAGTCGGCTTCCCAACTTCCACACCTGGGGAACCCCCACGAGATGCTGGTAAGGGCCTGGTGGCTAACTCACCCCAATGTAGTCCAGCCCGACCCCTGCCCAGATGCCTACCTGTGCGGTTCAGCCCTGGGCCCTCAGCCTTGACCTTGCTGGCATCGTGGGAGGGGTCCACCTTGATGTGGAAGGGACTGGCAGGGATCTCCTGGGTGGGGGGAAGGCTTGGTCAGGGGGGCTGTATCCCTGATCTGGGCTGGATACACTGACAAGATATTCCCAGAGGACCCACTATGGACAAGCCAGGCTCTCAAAGGGCCCCCTCAGCTTCTCCCACAGCCCACCAACCATACCCAGGAAGTTCTCAATAAATGTCTGTGGACTTGTGCTCCCTCAGCTCTTCCCTGCCTCTAAGCAACAGCATCTCAAACTGCCTGCTCCTCCAAGAGACTGAGGTACCTGGTTGGCGAACAGCACCATGATAGTGTAGCGGCCAGCCCCCGGGGGCGTGTACTTGACTGTGAAGGTGTCATTGTCATTCTTGATGATGTCAAAGTCAATGTCAGCCTCTGCAGGGCCCACCACGCCAGGGGCACACTTGATGCCAATGCTCACATCGCCTGAGGAGAGGCAGTCACCTGGCTGTGAGTTGGGGCTCAACCACCCCTCCACCTGACCAGTCCCACAGGAGCCCAGTTGCTGGAACCATGTTGGGGCCTTGAGCCTGGACAGGACCCTGAGCCCCACCCACCCTGGGCCACCCCCGGGCCCCACACTTTGCCAAGACCCACCCATGACCCGCCTCCAGGCCTGGCCCCACCTACCACTCCAGGGCTGGGCTTATACCTTGGCCTGCCTCGCTGCAGTCCACGGTGAAGTAGGTAGGCTCATTGGCCTTGAGGCCTGTCTTCTCCACACCGGGGCCATACACCTTCACCCGTTCAGGGTGACTGCCCTCTCCCACATTCACCTGTGGGAAGGGGTGTTGGTCAGCATGGTACCCCTCCCTCAAACCCACTGTGTCCCCAGCACTACCCATCCCAGCCTTAGGCTCTTTATGCGGGCCTGGAGATGGGGAGGGGTGGCAGAGCCCAGGGACAGCCAGCACGTCCTGCGTGGCCTTCCCTCTGGGACCTCTGGCAGCAGGTATGGGGCAGGGCATGGGGGAACAAACCCGGAAGGGGCTCTTGGGCACATTGACGCCTCCCCAGGAGATGATGATGGTGTGCTTGATGGGCTTGGTGGGCACGTAGGAGCAGCGGAAGGTGCCGTCGCCATTGGGGATGACTTTGACGTCGATAGGGCAGCCCTCAGCATCCTGTGGACATTCCCCAGGCAGGGCTCTGAGTGGGCTTTGGCCTCCTCAGAGCACTAAGCCCTCTGCTGGCCTCATGTCAGACTCAGCCATCCTCCTTACCCACGCCTACATGCTCACTAGGAGCTCTGTTGGCATAGTGGTTAAAACATTCGGCTGCTAACCAAAAGTCCAACAGTTCAAACCCACCAGCTGCTCCGCAGGAGAAAGATAAGGAATCTGTTTCTGTAAAGATTTACAGCCTTGGGAACCCTATGGGACAGTTCCATCTGTACTATAGGGTCACCATGAGCAAGAATCAACTCACTGGCAGTGGGTGACATGCTCACTGCCCCCTCACCCCTGACGTCAGGCCCGTGGAGCCCAGTGCCCTGTGCTCTAGTGGCCAGAGCCCACTTTGGGAGCCAGAAGACCAGGTTCCAGGCCATCTGTGAGACCCTTCTCCTATCCAAGGTTTGCTCATCTCTGAAGTGTGTTGTTAAAGACTAACTCACTGCCGTGGAGTTGGACCCGACTCATAGCGACCCCTCCTTGGGTTTCCGCGGCAGTATCACTACGGAAGTAGATTGCCCAACCTTCCTTCCGAGGAGGGGCTGGTGGGTTTGAACCGCCAGGCTTAGGGTTAGCAGTCAAATGCCTTAGGCACTGCACCACCAGAGCTCCTTCCTATAGGAGTGTTCTTGGAGGAGGAAAAAAAACCCAAAACCAAATCCACTCTGGGAGGAGTCAATTCAGACTCACAGTGACCCCATGTGTTACAGTTGATGAGGGAGTTACATCAGGTTCTTAAATTATGAATAATGACTTTTGAAAGATGAACCATCCTCTTGCACTGACCTTCAAGGATATGTTCATACCTCTAGGGGTCAATGGGCACCAATTTAAGAAACTGACTTAGGAAGCCAATGTCTCATTCAATGAAATCATCCTTCAATTACAAATGATTAGTGCAGAGATAAATATTGTTATAATCGTTAAAACGTATTTTTTAAAGTACCCCTAGTAGTACGATGGTTAAAGCACTCAGCTTCTAAACGAAAGGTAGTGGTTCAAACCCACCAGATAGCTGCTCCTTGGGTGAAAAGACTTGGGGAGCTGCTCCCATAAAGATACAGTCTAGGAAACCCTATGGGGCAGTTCTACTCTGTCCTATTGGGCTGCTATGAGCTGGAACCGACTGGATAACACACAATAGCACAGCACTTGTGGACCCCTGAGAATGGGCCCTGACATTCCCAGATGCTACAACTTCCTGCCTGGAGGGCCCTGCCCCTAGCCTGCCCCGGCCCTCTTAGGGCTCCTACCCCCAGTGAGGGCAACAGAGACTGGGCGATGGCCCACCTGGGCATAGAGCTTCAGGTCTCCCTTGCCAGCTAAGCGGGCATCAATGGTGAACTCTGCAGGCTTGTCCACGATGCAGCCAGTGGGCTCCAGACCAGGCCCAAAGGCCTTCACCTGTCAGGGGCAAGAGCAGAGGCTGGGTGGGAGCTGGGGGAGGGCCAGCTCAGCAACCCCCCGGCCTGGTGTGAGGAGCCGGGGCCGCACCTTATCTGGGAAGCAGTCGGGTGGGGCCGGCTGGATGTGGGCGATGAAAGGAGAGTCTCGGATGTCCTCGTCGTCACAGATGACATGTACGGCGTACTC